ATTTTTTTTTCAGGGAAGATCACTTCCCTGAGATTCACGGACGACGGTAGTATCCCATATGTTGCCCAACACAATTCGTTTATAAACTCAGATTCTGTAAGCTCCAAAGAAGGTGTGTCGACCTGTAACCCACAGAGCGCATGGATACACGGTCCTCAAGCCGATGTAGTCGCCCTCATTAAGAAACTTGATCGCACCAGTAAACTTGCTGCCGAAGTCCGAAAATCCTCCCGAAAGCGCCGTCTGCATCAAGCTGACATCATAACCGTTTAGGGTGAGAGCGACACGGTTATGAAAGAAATTTGCAGCGGTATAGTTTTGAAAAAACGCTTGGGCGTAGATGTAATAATACCCACTCCTTGTTACTATCAGTCGACCATTTTCATGTGTGAACCGCTTCAAAGTTCCGTTTGCCTGAAATTGGGTAATCTCTGCCAAAATGAAAACAAAAAATGCGAAAGTTATATATCTACGTGTGCCTATTATGTTCAAAAACATAAGCGAGCTGACATAGTTGCCGTTAAGCTAAGTGTAATGACGATGTTATAAAGGAATGGAGCATTTGACCCAATTCCCTAGGGGGGCGGGGAACTCCCACGTATTGGCTGTATAGGTATGAGCCGCGAGATAGGATATGGTTTTTGAGGTTCCCGATCCTTAAATAGAGAATAATTTTTGCCACAGTTGGTATTGTGCTCCCCGTGTTATCTATCAGCTAAAATTCCAGTGCGTGAATGACCAGCTAAAGGAAAATCAAATTATATGCTTGATGCTTTTAGAACTTCCAGTGTTACAGAGACGAAATAAATTGACCAATTCACGCCATTCTTAGTTTTTGTTTATCCCTTGAATAGGTGCTATTTTCTTATTTGTGTCTTAAACAAGACATCACTTTGCGTTTGTCAAGTCCTTAAATAGGGCCATGGTTTAAGAACCTTCGCGGCACACATCTATCCGAAATTTGCAGGAGTACTCCCAACCCCCTTCCTCCTCACACACACACACACACACACACACCCGACCGGATTCTAAACAGTTAAAATGATGCGGTTTAGAAATTGATTTGAATTTTGTTAAAAGGAAGACTTGCGCTGTCCCGGGATCTAAGGAATCAACGCAAATGCCGTATTTATTCCCTATAACCCCGTACAAAAGGTCTCGTGATACACGAGTTGATAATTATGGTTTGATTAGAAGAGCAAACCATGCCGGTCAAACGTCTTCCTTTTTATCTAGCAATTATGCGATACAAAACATTAAGCCAGCTAATATAAGGCTGAAAAAGGTGTCAAGTTTAAATTGTCAAATAGTTCAGGTTGAAATAGGCATCCTGCTCCATGTGGAAATTACTTGAGTTACCTGTATTTGTCGGAAATATACGACTAGAGGTCAAATTCCCTGTCAGCTGTCCCGCGAACTAAAGGATAAATGAAAGACAGAAATCATTTCAGACATGGCGGGAGAAAGCGCATAGCAATTGCGGTTGGGCAGAATTTGTGGTGAGGCACCACACGTTTTGAACAATCTTCTCCAATGTCTGTACGAGAAAGAATTTACTAATGTTCTCTTAGATTCTAGAATATGGTTTCTAATGTAAGCAATATTTGTCTCGCTACAAGGTGAAAGTACCTTTTAAACTATTTGTCGATACCTATATAAATGTTCCTTCGGATGGCTTCGCGGAAGTAGGAAAGTTGATAAAATTTCATTTTGACTGAGCGTCTATATTCACGATTCTACGCATTTTCCGCTGTGTTTTTAATAGCAAAGAGATGATACGTATCTCACAATGCAAATTTTCAACATTGTGAAAATTGTAACTTTTCTCTCCAATTTTGTAGTTCCAAATATAACTTTGAGAGTATCACCAATTTTTCCTCTCTTTCAAGATATTTATGTCGTACAAATTGTTGCTGCTACTGTCTTTGTCGAGACTGTTCTATCTTGATCCTCATTAAATGAAGTATTGGGTGACCATTACATTTTACACCTCGTTTCACGATAGGTATATTCTCCGCTTGCATAACAATCTCAGAAAGAACCTCTCGGTTCTCGTAGAATTAGACATATTTATCAAACGCGAGAAAAATGATATAAAGGAACAGGAATCCTGCCTTATTTTGGAAATCCTCACTACCATCAGCGTTTTGAAAACGTGACAAACAAAAAGCAGACTTATACTTGTACCTTTCTCCTTGCTTCTGTCACCACAACGAAAAGGCAGAAGAACAACACAGCCTGTCGAAACATGATTTGGAACCCTTCACACGCAAAGGCCTAATACAAGAATCTGAGTGGCGAAAAGATCAAAATAATTAAATTAATTCGTTATGAAATTGGAATTGGACATACTGTTGATGCTATTGTTGTTAATGGATTCCTTAACATTTTTGTTACGTACTTGTTATCTGAAAGCAAAACCTGTGTAATTTTAGATTGTAAAGGAGAGAATGTTTTACCTTTCTATCTTGGTATCCAAGCTTAATAGTTATCACCTGCTTGCGAGAGTGTAGCCGAATAAATAAAAAAACTATCGTTTTTTTTTAAGCAATGTCATTGGTTAGAAATTGAAGTTACCAACCAATATTTTTAAAATTGATTTCTTTACGTCATTCTCATGCAACAAACCTCGGGCAATTTATAATCTTTTCTGTGTTCCCAGCTAACAAAATTTTTCACCAGTAACAGCGGAGAGTGATTATGACAAGTATTGTCTTGTAGAACCAATACTACTGAGCAATATCTTGTAATTTTTGAAACTCTTTCTCTCGATGTGTGCTCTTCTAATGATAATGCTATACAGAGGACCATGGCAGCGTGTAGGGTTCAAGGAAAAATGCTTTTTATTTCATGACTTTGAAATTTAATCAGTTATATATATTTCTGGAGCAACGAAAATTGAAATATTCAAAAGGTTTTGCAGCTAAAGTTCCATTAGCAACCAACAACCTTTTTCTTTTATACCAAAGTTTATGCTCTTCGATTTCATGAAATGATAGGAACTGACCTGTCATAATGCTATACAGAGGGCCATGACAGCGTGCAAGGTTCAAGGAAAAATGCTTTTTACTTCATGGCATCTGAAATTTAATCAGTTATATATATATATCTACAGCGATGAAAACTGAAATATACAAAAGGTTTTGCAACTTAAGTCCTATTAGCAACCAGCAACCTTTTTTCTCTTTCATCAAAGTTTGTGCCTACTGAGCTAACCGCCGACCGGGTAGCTCAGTGGTAGAGCACCGGACTAGCGTGCGGGAGGTCGCGGGTTCAAACCCCCGGGCCGCACCAACACTTTAAATAATTGAGGAGAAAGTGCTGCCGTTGTAAAGACATCTGCAAATGGTTAGACTTTGTAGTCTTCTCGGATAAGGACGATAAACCGTAGGCCCCGTCTCACAACTCTTCATAATTAACTCTGTGGGACGTTAAAGAACCCACACACTGATCGAAAAGAGTCGGGGACGTAGTTCCCGGTGTGGTGGTCTATCTTCCTGGTGTGATGGTTAAATGCTCGGAGATATTAGCTGCATATGCTACCCTGAAATCCGAGGGTAAATAAAGTAATGTAATGTAATGTATGTATGCCCTTCGATTTCATGAAATGAAACTGACGTATTATAATGCTATAGAGAGGACCATGACGGCGTGCAAGGTTCAAGGAAAAATGCTTTTATTTCATGACATTTGAAATTTAATCAGTTACATATATCTAGAGCAATGAAAACTGAAATATTCCAAAGGTTCTCCAGCTTAAATTCTATTAAGAACCAACAACCTATTTCTCTTTCACCGGAAAT